CATTGCTCTTGGAAATCATGCATGGCGCGCGCAACCTACAGATTATTCACTAATCTGTTAGCAGATTAGTAAATAATCTGTAGGTTACACTGTTTCCCAGAATTAATTGCAGGTTTTTTTTTAGCCAATGAGAAGACAGATGGTGACTGCAATGTATAAAAATTTTAATTAATAACAGCATCCTAATAAATAACTGAGGAGCTCCGCTTTTAGGCTAAATCTATATATTATTGACATTCGAAACCACTTGCGTTCGAGCTTCCTTCACGTGCGAGCGTTCTTTAGCATGAGGGTTGTACTTTTCATATTTGGACTTGCCTTCTTTGCCTTGTACATTATTTGTGGAAAGTTCACATCATTTCCAAGAATTTTTATTGCTCATACAAGTGAAGCTGTTACCAAAAAACTTAAGCTAGACTGCTGGGCCTTAGAAAGAGCGATGCTATTGAAATATCCTGAACATGTACCACTGTAGCAAAAATATGTTCGTTCTGAATTTACTGGTATCGGAAACAGGCATATATTATTTGTTGAGGTTATTTATTCACTGTTGCTTAAATGTTCGATCTGATATATTATCCATAACAAAATATACATTCCCTCGATCATAAATTGTCTGCGATCTCCCGCAGTCTTCGTAAACATTTCTTCGGCCAACACGAAAAGGGCGGCAAAGTTCTGCGCGGACGCGGACTTCCCGGCGAAGTCGGTGTTGCAAGATGTGGGACAAGTGGCCAAAAAGGCGACTAAGGTAGTGTAGGAGTTACAAGTATTTTTATTATAAAATTTTCTGGAATTCAATTTTAAAATACCAACTGATCAAAAGTCCTGTGACCTTGTAGTGGCGATGCGCTGATGTTAAAACTCCGGAAAACTCGGACGGGGAGCTTTCAAGCTCAAGGAGTTGTGTTTCCATCAGAAGAGAGAAAGAGGTAATTTTTTTTTTTCAAATCTGTTTCGCTCATCCAATCGTTTAGAGTTTGAACTTTCTTCCCAACAAATATACATTGCATTTCAGAAGCTCAGAAGAATTACTAAAAGGGAAAGAGGATGAGTTGAAACGGAGGCAGGAGTTAGAGGAGCGACTGGAGAAGGAGGGAGAAAAAAAAATTAACAAAAAGAAAAAAAAATAATTTGTAGACTACCTAAAAATACTTTTGTTTTCCTCATGCATTTAATTTTTCAAGATCATTTTCATGTACATGCACTTTCAAACCAATATATTTTCAGTAGAGGATTGCTTCATGTCATAACCCCATTACAGTACTTTCTGGTAAACTTCTTGGAGAAAATGGATCCCTCGCATTCTGGGGCATTTGTTGACCATTTCATTTCTTTCCCACAATTAAATCATATTTAGCTTCAAAAGAGTTCATTTTCTGCCAAGGAGGTAGCTACTTTTAAGTGAAATCTGCAGAATGTCAACTCGAGAAACTCAACAAATCTTGCACGCAGAGAACTTGTTTTTTTTCCTTATAAATGGATTGTATGGCAGACATCCTGAGGAATCACAAACACAAAGGGAAGACAAACTGAAAGGATGAGTGGGGAAAGGGAGAAGGAAGAAATTTTGGTGAAGAAAAATGTAACTTTTACTGCCCTTGATGCAAGTCTGACCATGTACCAAAATGGCCATATACCAGTAAAAACCACTGAAATGAATGAGAGATCTTTGAGTGTCGAAAAGT